GGCCATTTAACAGCCTGTATATGTTACTGCTTTTGTTGTCCCCTCCTCCCTCAAGTGTGAGTGAAGCGAACAGATTTTGTCCATTGCGTTCACTGCCATATCTTAGTGCCTAGAACTGGCCTGGCACAAAGAAATGACCCTTGTATTTGGTGAAGGAAAGAATAAATTGGTTAAAAATCCCCCTCAGGTCTTCCCTTTGAGAATGCAAATGCCCCGGGGCAGGAGAGAATCCTCCCCAGGGCCTACAGCATCACAGCTGTGTGCTGGTGCAGGTTTAATAACTGGCTCTGATGATATATGGACACAAGTTTATTATAACTTTTACAGACATAAAGGCTGTGTAGCACACCATTTATAAATAATAATAAAATGTGCACTATTCTTTATGAGTTCCTTTCTAGCCAGCTGATTATCACAAGTGAGTTTGGCCAACTCTCATGTCCGTTGCCAACCTATAGCCTCCATGGTTTGCCAAGGGAGGCCGCATGCCAATGAATGCAACTCTTTCCCCCGTGAATGTGTTGTCGTTAAATCTGTTAAGTGAGCTACCGTTACACTATTTCCCACCCTTGTACAAATGACATTCATTAAACTGAAACTTCTTTCAAATCTTCAGCACTGCTGATTGCAGTAGGGTTATTTTAAAACGTCCACTGTATAGATGCAGGGTTTGAAACATGGTTTGATCTGCATTATTTAATAATGGCTGATTTTAACAAACAGCTCAAAATATTCCTAAAATTGTACCACCCAGCTCATGCTAGCTAGAGCGAGTCTGGGGGACAGCCGGCCTGAGCCAGGCCCAGGGTCGTGTGTTTGACTGACATCCTCTCTGCCCCTTGCTCACAGCAGCCTGGTGAGGCTGTGTCATTCTCCCTCCTTCACAGAGGAGAAAGCTGAGGCTCAGAGGTGACTGGAACCCCGGTCTGCTGCGTCCAAGAGCCCTGCCCTTCCCACTCCAGGGGCCTGCCTCTGGGCAATCTCTCAGTCATGAAACATTAGTGGCCACGTTCTTGATGTCAGATACGGGGATACAAAGGGAAGCTTCCCTCCTTCCCTTCTGGGATATCCCAGGAGGGAGGGTCACTGAGCCTCAGAACTAGGTGTGGGTTGGTGGAGGGGGGTTCCTGAGGCTGATGGCTGGACTCCAGCCTTGAGTCACCACTCAGTCTGCCCTTCAGACTTGGGCAGGAGAGGCCCTTGCCCTGGGCCTTATGTTTTCACAGTCCCTGCTCTGGCCCTCTTCTTGGGGTGAGGATGTTGAGCCATCTAAGACAAGGTGCCCACCTGGAGACTGCAACCCCCGCCCCCCACCCGCTTTAGACCAAGCTCCGAGGACCCAGAACTCTGGCATCCCTGCTCAAGTAACCCTAAGCACACCCCCAGCGTCTGCGGGACCCTAGCTGGGCTCTGCCAGGCCCCTGGGTTCTGTGTAACCCAACTCTCCCCTCCTGGCCTTCTGGAAACACAACTCCGTGCTGTGCTACACTAGGTGGTGGGCTGGCTAGGGGCCTCGGGGAGTAAATGCCCCAAACACAGCTTGATGTCAGGGCACCGGAGACTGCAGAGGCCACCTCAGCCCACCCCCATTTCAGAGATGGGGAGACTGAGGCCCAGAGACTAGAAGCGCCTGCCCAAGAGTGCAGACCAGGCCTCTTTTCCCTCTCAGCCCCTTCTTTTGTTCCACCATGAGCCACAGCCAGTTACTGGTGGCACCCCCCCCCCATCTCCCATCCCTCCTCCCGAATCCAGCTATGGGGCCTGGAGAAGCACCTAGCGGGCACCCTCTCCTATCTCCCCCACTGCTAAGTCCCACTGACAAATGTAACACCACACTTCCACCTCTGAGACCCCCTCCGCGCTGCCCCACCCCCCGCAGCTAGTGGTGGTGGTCACTACCCCCCCCCACAGTGGTGTCCCCAGCAGCAGGCGGCCCCCTGCCTGTGGGTGGGCCGGCTCTCCCACCAGCCGTCTTCCTTCCCACCGACAAAAAAAAAAAAGAGCAGAGCAAATTGCCTAATGAGACCCATATTTTTCTGTGAGTTGCTAATTAAAGAGCAAAGCGAACCTACCATTAATTTGGTCCTGGGAAAGAAACTTGGCCTGTAGCAGAGAGAGGAAAACAGTCAGGGAGGGGACTCCGTGAAAGCGCCTCCCGCACCCCCAGCCCCGGGGCAGCCAGGCTCGAGGACACAGCCCCCTACTCACCATCCTGGGGCCTCAGGCTATCGCCTGTGGGCTCGAGGCTCCCACAACTGCCCGCTCAGTCCTCTTCCTCCCGGCTTCAAGTCGAAAGTCCGCCAAGCTGGGTGGAGGCCCCAGTAATAAATCCGCAGCTGCCATGGCGACCAGGCTCAGCGCCCGCCCCGGGGTCAGATTCCAGCTTTCCAGCTTCCCGTGCACAGCTGATGCCCCGGCCACCCGCTGGGCAGGGAAACGCGTTTCACTGCGAGTAAATGGGGCTGCACACGGGCTCCCCACGACTCGTCCTGCATCGGGAAGCTGGTGCTCTCTGGCAAATGGACACATGCCGCCGTTCCTTCCCCGGGGGCCCTCCGTGGACGGGGGAGGGGTGGTGATACACAGAAAAGGGGTGCCTCAGGAGAATCTTTCCTTTCTCTCCCCTGGGACTAGGCTGGGGGCTGACAACTCCTAGGTGTCGGGTGCTTTGCACTCTTACAGAAGACCCATCACACAGCATCCTCTGGGCGGGAAGGAGACCCTGCCATGATGGGACAGCCCAGCAGTGGATGTCCCCACTGCCAAGGCCTTGGGATGCATTCTGGAGAGGGGGCCCAAGCTCCGTGTCTTGGGCTGGATTCAAATCCTTCCCTCAGGTCCATTTGCTGAGTGACCTTGGCACGTCATTTCACTGGCTGTGCCTCAGTTTCTGCACCGGGCCTCATCACAGGGCTGTCGAGAGCATCAAAGGGCCAGCGCACAATCGGTTCTCCACTTCCTTCCTTCCGGGGACCCTGAGGGTAGGGGTGGGGTGGTGCCTGCAGTGGGGTCTCAGGCCCCACCACCAGCTACCCCGGGGAGGGGCTCACAGGGAGGCCTCTTAGGTGACTTTCCCCAGCCAGGAAGGCTCCTCTTCTTCATTTCCCTCTTCTGCCCCCCCGGAACTCCCCCCCCACCCCCATCAGCCTGTCCCCATCTCCTCGCCCTAGAAGTGGGGTGGTTCCCTAGGGACGCTGCGCTGGGCACAGCTGGGTCTCACCCTTCCTCTCCTCCCCAGCTGCTGGCTCCCAGTCTGCAGGGCTCCAACTCCGGGGCACCCTCCGCCTTGTTAGCACTGGCATGGAGGGCCCAACAGGCCGTGCTCGGCACAAGGGCCCCCAGCCCCGGGGACGCGTGGGTCCTGGTGAGGGGCTGCACGTACCTGCAGGAAGGGGGACCTCTTGCTAACGTGCATGGCGTGGACAGGGGGCCTGCCCTTGGTCTGCTCTCCCTCCCTCCTTCTTGACCGCGTCCACATGGAAGATTCTCTCTTCCCCCAGATGATGTCTCCTGAGTCACCTCTTCACATCTGTTTCTAGACCCAGAGAATTTCAGCTGGAGGATTTGACTCCTCTCTGTTGGGGCTGAGAAGAGGAAAGATGGGCGGGATGCAGGAGGCAGGAGAGGAGGGAGCTTCTGCTAACAGCCTTGTGGGGAGAAGTGAGGCGAAGTCATGTGGGGCCTTGGAGGCCCGGCGGGTCGCGGGGCGCAGAGCTGAGGCTTGTGGGGAGGCCTGCAGGGGCCAGGCCAGAGCACTGGCTCGGGATTGCCCCGTGCTTGGGAAGGGGCTTATGGGGGAGACAAGACATTTTCTTGGGTCTAGGTCAGTCAGTGCATGATCAAAAAGACCTGCTCGGGCAGGGGTGGCTCCATGAGGGGTTGCTATGAAAATCCATCAAGCTGTATACTTCCCGGACAGTACAGGGGTCGTGTGTAATGCTACACTTCAACTCAACATGAAAAACAGAAACCCCCTCCGACGCCACCTGGGGGCCAAGACTTTGTTCACCGGAAGGGCCCCTACCACCAGGTTCTGACTCAGCAGTTAGAATGGGGCAAGAATTTGTATTTTCTAATGCCGTCCTGATGCTGCCAGTCAGCGCCACACTTTGAGAACCACTGGCCTCCAGGGGAGCCAGATGGAGTGGGAAGCCAGGTCGCAATTAAGAAGTATTTCTAGGGAAACGTTTCCAGTAAACTGCCCAAAGAGATCTCGGTCAAGAGGGACAAGAAATCTCCAAGACTCTAATAATTTGCTGTAATTTCTTTCCATTCTAAACATTCACTTTCATACCTAATTTTTTTTTTTTTACATTTTATTTATTTATTTGAGAGAGAGCACAGGAGAGGGGGGAGGGTCAGAGGGCGAAGCAGACTCCCTGCTGAGCAGGGAGCCCGATGCGGGACTCGATCCAGGGACTCCAGGATCATGACCTGAGCTGAAGGCAGTCGCTTAACCAACTGAGCCACCCTGGTGCCCTTCATAACTAATTTTTTAAAGATTTATTTATTTACTTTAGACAGAGAGAGAGTGCACATGCACTGGAGCAGGGAGGAGGCGGAGGGAGAGAGAATCTGAAGCAGACTCTCAGCTAAGTACAGAGCCCAATGCGGGGCTCGATTTCATGACCCTGAGATGGTGCCCTGAGCCAAAACCAAGTCAGAAACTTAACTGACTGAGCCACCCAGGTGCCCCTCATACCTAATTTTTTATTCACTTTTTTTTTCTGTTTTCTTATCAAGGACCCCCCCCCCCAAGTTGTGTAAGCTCCAGGCCCCACATGACCAGGCCTGTGCCTGCTCATAAGACACCCAGCAAGTCTTGCTGTGGAGAAGAGGCCAGAGACAGAGTGGGAAGGACCAGTGTCCTCAAGGTGAGGAAGGAATCCAGTGAGGTTGCTGGGCAGGTGGGGGCATAGCCTATGACGATGTGGCGTCGAGCATCTCCTGTCCAGTGCTGTCTGCTAACAGGAGCCCCAGTAAGTCCTGGGGGCTGTGTGGTGAGTCTGAGACCCCGAGGGAGTAAGCGACTTGCCCAAGGCTTGGGGCCAACCTCCAACAAACCAGCCTCCCCACCTTCCCCCAAAGGGTACCTTCTCTGTTTCAGCCTCTGGAGTGGGCTCGCAGCAGAGTAGGGAGGCCTGAGGGGCCATTTCGGGAGAGGCAGGCCTGGAGATGCCCTATCCTGGCTCCCCGCCCCCCCAGGCCCCCCCAGACTCCTCACAAGAGAGCTAGAACTGACTGGGAGGAGGCCCTTCTTGCCCCCCACCCCCAGCATCCCACAGGGTGGCACGGAAGGCCAACGGACAGTAGCAGGGCCTGCTCTCAGCCCCTGACCGGCCACAGACCAGCCACTGTCTCTCCGGCCCCAGGGATCTCCCTCCTGCCGCCCAAATTCACACCCAGAGAAAGCAGCAGCCACCAGCCAGGCTGGGCTCCACACTGGTCTTTATTCACACCTCTCTCCGCCCATGGAACCCGGGGCTGGGGGGCCTCTAAGGGGGCTGCAGAGGGACCCCAACATGAAAGGAACATCTGAGGCACAGGGCTCCCTGAGAACACAGGAGAGGGGGTAGGGCCCGGGGAAGGTAGGGCAGGCCCCCTGAGACCCACAAGCTCGCCAAGCCAGTGCTGGCTGGAAAATGAGACTGGTGCCGGCAGCTGTGTGGGCAGACCTGGCCCCAAGGCCTGGGGGAAGGCGGGCCCGGGGTGTCCTGCTGGGAATGAAGCCTCCCTTTTCTGGGAGCAGGGCCATGAGCAGAAAGCATGAGATTCAGGCTGAGACAAGGCCTATGGGGGAGAGCCTCCAGATCTGCCCCCCTCCCAACATCCCCCAAATGCCCCCTGACCCTATAACGGGGCTCAAGGAATACCACGAGTGTTTGAGAACACAGCCTTCAGCTGCAGCTCAGACATCCTGGTCAGGCTGCCAGGAAGGGGTGCCACAGTTCTGGGAGGAAGCAGGGAGACAGCTTCTGGCAGAGGGAAATGGTGCTCAGGGGAGTCTGGCGGCGCAACCCTCCGTGTGACCTGAGTTTGGGGGAGGATCTGCGGCGCACACACCCTTCCCGGGGTAGCAGAGGGCAGCGACAGGAGAGAACGAGCCGTCCAATCCAGGGCTGCCCCAACAACCAGCCCACTGACACACTTTGGGCCCTCGTCCCAGCTAGTGCAAATGAGGCCCAGAGGAGGGATGTGCTTTGCTCAACAATACCCAGAAAGTTAACTGAACCTTTGTAATCTGGCCTTCAGGGTCAGGGCAGGTCTGAGGGGTGAGCCAGGTGGCGGGTGACATGCCCAGTCCCCTCACCACTGCTGCCCCACCCGCCAGGCCGACCCAGCATGGCTACCAGAAGCCACCGCAGGAGGAGAGCGGCCCTGAGCGGTGAGTGAGAGGGCCCGACGCCAGTCAGGTGCATGGGAAGGCGGGGCCCACACCTCGGCCCGGGCACACACGGCCGCCGACTATATCCCACCCTGACAAGATCCAAACCGAAGAGAAACTTGCTCCACACAATCGAGCCTTGCGCCGACGCTCTCTGCGCGCGCACACCCCGGGCCAGGCGCTCAGTGCGTGCCCCTCCCGCCGCGGCTGCGACAGCGCACACCGGAGGGACGCACGCGTCCGCGCACGCACGCACGCACGCACGCACGTCCCCGCTCGGCCACCCTCCGCGGCCCGTGTCCCGCCAGGCAGGGCGCCGGCGCCTGGTGCCAGGGGCTCAGCGTCGGCCGCTGACGTGCAGGGTGTAGAAGGCCCAGGGCTCAGGGACGTAGATGACACCCGGGTACTTCTTCCTGAGCACCGCGTCATCCCACAGCCAGCCAACCCACAGCGCCACAAGCAGGAGGGTGAGGGCGAAGGAGCAGAAGAGGAAGAGGCCGTTGCTGTCCAGGAAGAGGTGCTTGCGCTTCTGGTGCAGGACAAGGGCCAACATGGCGAAGAAGGTGAAGGTGAAGAGGATGAAGATCTGGCCCTCGGTGACCAGGTACCTGAGGAGGCCGGCGGGGGGAGGGGGGGCGGTCAGGGGCTCTACCCGGCCCGGCATCCCTCCCTGGACCCCCATACCAGGCTGCCCCCGGGTCGGCCAGAGCAGCACATCTCACGGGAGGAGCAGGGAACCGTCCTACTCCGAGCCACGGCCCACAGGCAGCAGACCGATTTGGCTTGCAGAGTTGCTATTTTTAAAGATGTTGAGTTTGTTACCAACGTTTAAATAGCAGATTAGCAGAACATGTGGATTTCTGGTTTCTTTGGTCATATCAGGCCCCTATACCCGCACGAAACTGATTCGAGGAGAAAATGGCTGCCCCTCTGGAAAGAGCATGGTTCTGCTGTTTGCCACAGTCCCCGCCATTCCCTATTGCCTTACTCGAGGCCCACTTGATGCCCTTCTGCTACCAGCTTGGTTCCTATAGGCATTTGAGTTTGGGAATGCAGCTGCAATTCATAGGGTTGTCATTACTGTCTCCTCGAGGGCTGGGACAGGCTCAGATCTCCCAGGGTTCTCTGCAGCTTCTAAGGCAGTACCTAGCACATGGCCAGGAATTGGTAGTATTTGTTGGAGGGCTTCTGGGAGGTTGTCTGGTCCATTCCCCTGCCTCTAGAGAGAAACACGATGCTGACCCATTCCACTCAAGGAATGACAGCTTTGCAACTCAGTGGCTGTGGGACCTTGACATCCTGGAGCTTCTGCGTTCTTACTTAGAAAGGGGCATAAGCAGCCCTATCTCCCGAGATGTAAGAGACCGACAAGAGCTGTGTACATCTCTTACTTGGAAAAGCATGTTGCTCAACCAAAATGGTTACTGTTCCTACCGTGGCCATCTCTACACTAACACGCTGGCGGGGAGAACCAGGCAGGAAGCCCTCTGCATGTCGAACCACTTTCCTTCTTGCTGTGGTTGCCACTCATTCTTTTTCATCCTGCCCTCAGGGGGCATACAGATTGGCCCTGGTCGACCCTCTCCGCCTGGCCGGGGAGGGACCCAGGGGTGGCTCCTAGGGACCTGGCCCTAGGAAAGGCCCTTTTCATTCTGAGGCAAGCTTTCCATCAGAGAAGGGTCCAGTCCTTCCTATGACGCCCACCAATGCTCAGGGGGAGCCTGTCCCCGGGGCAGAAGGGACAGAGCAGAGGTAGGGGCCTGGTGGAGGCCTGAGTCCTCTGAAATGGGAGGAGAGCTCTGGAAAAAGAGAAACCAGGCAAGAAACTTCCCCCTTATCTGTCCCTGTCACCTTCATAGTGCTTTATAGTTTATGAAGCCTCTTTCCCTCCTTCTAGATCCTCACTATCTCCTGAGAGGGAGACAAGCAGGGGCTGTCCCAATTTCACAAAGGAGGAAACTGAGGCCCACAGGGCTCTATGCACTCGATATTACAGGTAGATTCTATGGCACTGGGGTTCCGGGAGGTAGGGTAGAGGAGCCTGAGAATGGAGAGGGGCACTTAGGCCTGGCTTCCTGGTAACAGAGATGCTACCACAAAGCACTGTCACCGTCCCCACTAGACAAGAGGAGGAAGCAGGAGCCCAGAGCAGGACTGTGGTCAAGAGCACATTTTTACCGCCTGGCTCACTAAGTGTCCCCACCCACCCCTCCCCCAGGTCTGAGGTCCACTCACCAATAGTATAGGCCACTGGGCATCACCAGGAGCAGGGCCACCCCTGGCATCGAACTCTCGGCTTTGATGGGAGTGAAACAACCGCTGAAGTACATGAAGAGGATGAGGAAGAAGGGGATGTACCTGCAACAGGGAGGCCAGGGCCTCAGAGACCTGCCCAGCCGCCCCATCACCCCTCCACCCGGCCCTCCCCCTCCTTGGGCTGCCCCCTTGCACCATCCCGTGCAGGTCGCTTTATGGTTTACAAAACACCCGGTTTGGGCCAGGGCTGGGGATCCAGGGTGGGAAAGGAAGGAGGCAGGAAGAGGAGGCCTGTTCCCTGGCACATGCAAATCAGAGGCCCAAAGGCCACCTCACTCCGCGTGGGTGTGTGTAGGGGGTGCCTCTGTCTCACCCTGGCACCCCACACACCAGCAGCGCCCCCCAACTTGGAACAGGTGTACCCAGCAGGGCCAAGGGGGGAGAGCCTCCAGGTCCAGGTGAAAAAAAAAAGAGAAAGAGAGAACCATACCTGCTGGGGTCCTCCAAGGGGCTTTGTGAAGCCCCCTCCCCCATACCTAACCCACAGCCTCACCCCTTCCCCACACATAGCATCTCACCCAAAAGTACCAGCCTCTCTCCTCTCCACACAGGCTGCCTCTCCCACAGCCCCTTCTCTCAGCTACCCTGTCTCCCCCCCGGCCTCCCTGCCCCGTTCCTCCCTTCCCAAACTTCCCTAGGAAGGGTCTCTGGCAAAGGCCTGTCCAGGGCCCCTGGACTCACAGCCAAGAGGACCAACTCTGCCTGTTCTAAATGGACCCTGGAAACACGAGTGTCGGCCTGGTGTGCCAGGAGCCGGCCACCTCACTCAGGGCTGAGGCCACAGGGTGCAGGGCTTGCTGGTGGCCCTAACCCCCCCCCCCCCCCCAACCCCTCTCACTGGCCCCAGCTCCTCCTGTAAGGTGGGGGGCGGAACAGACAGCTGCCGGCAGCTGGGCCCCCGGCTCTCCCGCGGCTGCGCACAGCTGGGAGGTTTCCGCCGCCTTTGGGGTGAAAGGGGGCCCTTCCCGGAGTTCGAGGAGTGGGACAGACAGCTCCTCCCCCCTCAGGTCCAGCTGGCCCTCTTCGGCTTCGTCCAGACCTCCACTCCCAAAGACCGCTTCTGCCTCGGTGGGCGTCCCCACTCGGCGCCTACGCTCACCCCAGCGCGTCGAGAGGGCGGGACTTGACCCCTCCCCCCAGGCTCCGGCAGGCCCGGGGAGGGACAGCCGCTCGCTGCCCTCTAGTGGCCGCCGCGGGCACTGCCGCGCTGAGACCCGGAGGGCCCCCGCGCCCCACACCCAGAGGCTCGTCCAGTGTCCGCGAGGCCGGGCCCGGGGTCCCTGGGGAGGGCAGCCCGCCTGGCGCTGCCCTCCTGGCTGAGCCTGGCCCCAACACTCACCACATGGAGTGGCCCAGGTACTCGTCGTAGTAGTAGAGCAGCTCGAAGGAGTCGATCTGAGGACAGGGGCATGGCAGGTGAGAGCGGCAGGTGCATGGCGGTGGGAGGGTGGGGCAGGCTGCGGGGGCCCACGCAGCCCACCCTTCCCCAGGCCCGGGCCTGCCCCCAGCAGCCCTCCTTCCCCACCCTCGGTCTTGCCCTCCACTGCAGGGGGCCCAGGTGGGAGCCAAAGTGCCACTTCCTAAAGTGTCACCAGCATCCTAGCTCGGCGTGTACAGTGCTCTCACCTAGCAGAACGCCTTTAGCAGGTCAGGCACAGTGACGGGTGGGGGTGATCTCTTTAGCCTCCAGGACAGACTGTGCCCAAAGGCTTTACATGCAGTGGGGGAGGTGGCCTCACCAGCGTCTCTGGCTTGAGATTCTTGATAATGGGATTCTCCCGGACAGACAGGTGGTGCTGGTAGCCACTGAAGAGCAAACGGTGGTTCACGGAGTCGCCCACCAGGTGGATGCTGGCGCCCATGATGAAGGTGATGATGCTGATGTAGATCATGGAGCGCGGCAGGGTTCGAGGGGACCGCTCAATGAGCTGGGGTCAGAGGGACGCCGGACAGCATGACTCAGCCTCCACCACAACATGAGACACCCCCTGGTCTCTCCGCCCCTGCCTGGCATCTGATGGATGCCACTGGATGAAAAGTCACTCGGAAATTGGGTCACTTTAGCAGGCTAAGCCAGCCTCCAGAGTCTCATAGGATCCCCGTGAAGCCAGCAGGAGCTGGGAAACAGCACCCCCTTTCCTCAGAGAGGAAGTAGACTCAGAGGAACTAGCTGATTGCCCAAGGTCGCATACCAATCCTGTGCTGGCAGTGACAGGCAGGCCTTCAGCACAGGCATGCAGGCTCCAGGCCTGGCCCTCTCCCTCCCCCAGCTGTGTCTCTGGGTGGCTGGGCTGGCTCAGCAGCAGCGGGACCCTCTGATTTCTGAGCCACTGGTGCATGGTAATCACGAAGAAAATGTCAGGGAAGTGGGGGTGGGGGTGGGGAGGATGCTTTGGAAACCAAACTATTTAACTTAGGACTCCTCTGAATTCTAATTTTATACCCTGCTTCTTTTGGTGATTAGAAACATCTTTCTAGAAACAAAATGATGGGGATGGTAGATGGCGTTAGTTGTTTTAAGAGCCCTTATTTGGACGTGCAAAGCTGGCAGTCCCGGATAGCTCTGTGCTCCCAGTGACATCTCCAAATCCCAGATCCCCAGGCCAGAGTAGAGGTCACCTCTGTTACTGCCACCTGGACCCTCATTGCCTTCCCAACTGGTCCCTGACTTCTCCCCAGGAAACCAACCCACTCACTCCTTATGCCTCAGCCTTCCCAAATGTACTGTAGTTTCACAAGCACGAGCCTGTCTTCAGGTCCTTTTGCTTGACCACCTCTCCCACATCATCCCCTGCCACACAAGGCTGACACCCAAATCAGACACCCATCCTTGGGGAGGGTTTCTCCATCCCTCCTGGGCAGGCCTTTGATATGTCCCTCCATCACAGCCTTCACCCCCCAGGCTGAGGCAGGGTAGGCCTGCTTCCACCTGCTTCCATGACTCCCAGGGCTCAGCACCAGCTTCTTGCCGGAGGAGGAGGGGATGAGAGTGGGAAGGTGGCGCAGGGAGCCCGGGACTGTACCTTGAGCAGGAGGAAGGGCGTGATGACGTTGTAGGCCATGTGGAAGTAGTCCCCCACGCTGGGCTTGTTGAGTGGAAACCATTCGAGAGGGAACACCAGCTGGGGAGCAAAGGGAGGAACGGTGTTCACGTGGGCAGAGCCCCACAAGGCCCTCGGCAGTCAGCCCCCACCTCTTCCACATACACTTAACTCTTTCTGTGATCTCTGGGGATCGTCTTGGCAGCCCTGGGGTACCCAGCAGAGAAACTGAGTCCCAAAGAAGGTAAGTGGACTTGTCCCCAGGCATACTAGTAGATGCAAATCCAGGGCCTGACTCTGTGCCCAGCTCCCAGTGGGTACTAAATAAATGTCCCTGGGTACTGGTCTGGGAGCTGGAGGCTGCTTTGGGACTTCGTGGTGACCCTTGGTTTCCCCCTCTGCAACACAAGAGATGTGACCCAGGTGGTCGACTTGGGCCCTTAGGGGTCTGATGCTTCAGGTCCTATGATGTTGGAAAGATCTCCTGACCACTAGGCCCCATGCTCTATGCACGGAACAGATGGACTGCTTCCAAATCAGGTCAAAAGTACACATTAGGAAACAAAGGAGAAAATAAGTGAGTTCTACAAAGTAGTTTCAGTTCTTTCTTTCTTACCTTCCCTGAGAGAAGAGGCAGGCCAGGGGCAGTTCCTCTGCCTGGCAAGCCCTCTCTTATTGGTCTACCCCAGTGGGTCCTGGCCTTATCAGGGTCAGTGTGAAAACCCCCGTGCAAAGTCAAAACAAGTTATGACCCCCCAAACTGTACTTCCGGGATCTGTTGACTGAGAACACAGGCAATGACCACAAATTTCAAATGAAATTGTAAATGTTTATCTCTTTTAATTCAGAAATACCACATTGGCTAAAACTAACCACACATATAAAAACTCCCAGGATACAGGCCTCTGTTCCTCTCTTTCTCTCTTACTCGGTGTGTACCTCTGTATCTTCACCCATATCCAGATATATATGTTGGATATCTACACCACATCTTCTTTATCCATTCATTTATTGATGGACACTTAGGGTGCTTCCATCATTTGGCTATTGTAAATAATGCTGCAGTGAACATAGTGGGGCATACCTCTTTTCAAATTGGTGTTTTCATTTTCTTTGGGTAAATACCCAGTAGTGGAATTACTGGATTGTATGGTATTTCTATTTTTAATTTTTTTTTTTTAGGAAACTCCAAACTGTTTTCCACAGTGGCTGCACCAATTTACATTTCTACCAATAGCACATGAGGGTTACCTTTTCACCACATCCTCGCCAACACATTACTCAGCCACAAAAAGAATCTTCCCATTTGCAACAATATGGATGGACCTAGAGGGTATTATGCTAAGTGATGTAACTCAGAGAAAGATAAAAGCCATATGATTTCACTAAACATGTGGAATTAAAAAAAAAACAAAACAATGAACAAACAAACACAGAAGTAGAATCATAAATACAGAGAATTGGTGATTGCCAGAGGGGAGGAAGTTGGGGGATGGGCAAAATAGGTGAAGGGGATTAGGAGGCCCAAACTTCCAGTTACCAAATAAATAAGTCATGGGCGGAGCACGGATAACGTAAAACTGTCAAATCACTATGTTGTACACTGAGGCTAATATAACACCGTATGTCAACTAAAATTTCTTTAAAAGAGATACATACAATGGCTGAAATACTCTTTGTGATAGCAAAATACCAGAAACAGGCTGACTCTTCAACTAACTAGATGAGCTGAATACATTATAGCGCATCTTTACTATAGCAGGTGAAGTAGCCATTATCAGAAATGACACCTTATAGGTACTGAGATGGAAAGACAGCCATTGTAAATCCTAAGGTAAAGCAAGCAAGTTGTAGGATAAGGCATAAAGTGAGATCTCATTTCAGCTGGAAAAGGAAAGAGAATATAGAATATGTTTGCAGGAGCAGAGAAAGGAGTGGGTGGCTGTGCCCCAAACCATCAGGGGTGGGACTGGAAAGGGAGAATTGAACACTTCTGCATATACCTAGGCATTAGTTGACTTCTTACAACTACTACATATTACTTTTATAACTTGTACGAGTTTGGTTTTCATTACTACAGATTCGAGAATGTCATGCCTACATTTCAAAAGCTCCAGTGTATATAGGAGCTTTTCAAATGTATACTCTCCTAACAAGCCCACCTAGGTTGCTGGGCAGGCTGGGGAAGTGATTTGCCCTGCGGGAGACCACCACGGACAGCTGTGGCTGAGTCCCAAGGAGTGAGGGCAGAGGACAGCCATGAGCCTGCTCCGGGCCTCATTTCCCCCTCTCCATAGCATCAGTGTGATGGGCAGCTCCTTTGGCCCCCAGTCTGTGTGACCTTCATGCAGGAAGGGGGCTCAGAGCAGCCAGGCCAACCAGCCTTCTTATGGATGAGAGAACCAGAGCCCAGCAGACAGTGACTTGCCTAAAGCCACCCACAAACCTGACCAGGTGCCCTGACTCCTGGCTCAGTCTCTTTTCTTTCTCCCACACTTAAACAACATGTAAGCCTTACAGAGAGTCTGCAGAAAGGAGAAACAGCATCCACCCCAAATCCGCCCCAAAAGTGCCACCAGAATAGCTTTTTTTTTGCTAAAGATGTATTTACTGGGGTGCCTGGATGGCTCAGTCGTGAAGCGTCTGCTTTCGGCTCAGGTCATGATCCCGGGGTCCTGGGATTGAGCCCCACATCGGGCTCCTTGCTCAGCGGGGAGCCTGCTTCTCCCTCTCCCCCTCCCCCTGCTTGTGTTCCCTCTCTCACCGTGTCTCTGTCAAATAAATAAATAAAATCTTAAAAAAATAATAAACATTATTTGAAAGAGAGAGAGAGCGCGCGCAAGAATGAGTGGGGGGGAGGGAGAGAATCCCAAGCAGACTCTGCACTGAGTGCAGAGCCTGATGCGGGGCTCAATCCTAGGACCCTGAGATCCTATCCTGAGCCGAAATCAAGAGTCAGCTGCCTAACCGACTGAGCCACCCAGGTGCCCCAGCTTTTCGTATCCCCTTTGAGTCTCTGACCCATGTGTACAAGATGTTGAGATCGTCCCTGACTTGCCATCAGGCAGCATGTACACCCCTTTTCTCTCCTCGAACGACCCCCGCTGCTCTAGAGTATCCAGAATTCCTGTTTAATGGCCAGATGTTTTCTATACCGGATACAGAAAGCTGATTTACCCAGCGCCTACTGCTGGACACTGAAATCACATCCAAGGTAAGCAACACTGCAAGGAACACCTTTGCGTATAGACAACCTTTGTCGTCCTCTTGCTGATTACATCTTCAGGGCAGATTCTCAAAGGGGTCTTCCTGGGTCGGGAGGGATGAACATATTAGGGTTCTGGAGATATACATGACAGGAAAGGGGTAGGCTCTGGGGCCAGACGCTTGCGTGTAGATGCTGGCTCTTCCACTTGCTACTTGGGTGACCCTGAGTCAGTGACTTGCCCTGTCTATCCATGAGTCTTCCCATCTATAAAATCGAGATTAGTAAGAGTGTTGAGGTGAGGATTCAGTAAGTTTAAACACATAAAGGGTTTAGAACAGAGTACTCAATGTACATTAACCACTATTTCTACTTTCCCATTGTTATTATTATTATCATTGTTCCTTCAATAAAAGTGCATTGAGGGGCGCCTGGGTGGCTCAGTCCGTTGAGTGTCTGACTCTTGATTTCAGGTCATGATCTCAGGGTCCTGAAATCAGCCCCGAGTCAGGCTCTGCACTCAGCATGGAGTCTACTTAAGATTCTCTCTCTCCCTCTCCCTCTGCCCCTCCCCCACTCACGTGTGCGCACACACTCTCTCTCTAAAATAAATCAATCTTGGGGCGCCTGGATGGCTCAGTTGTTAAGTGTCTGCCTTCGGCTCAGGTCATGATCCCTTCTCTGTCCACGGCTTCACACTCACCATGGCAATGGGGCGGCCAAAGTCTAGAACCCAGTTCTGCAGGGTGAAGTAGAACCAGAGGTCAAGGTGAAAGGGAGCTGTGCTTGCAGCTTCATCAGCCTTGGCGGTGCTGTGCCTGGAAAGGAACCGGACAACAGGGGTCAGCTCTTCTCTCCTCCCATGAGAATCTTCCCGAGATGAGCCACAGAGAGGGGGAGTTGAAGGCAGGAGGATTAATTTCTAGGAATTTTGCTGGAAATACTGGCTCTGAGGCCAAGGGGAACGTGTCCTGGGAATTGATTCCAGCTGCCCTATTGTTAGCTTAGCTTCTCTGTGGTTCAGGAAGGAAACTGCCAAACTGGGCATTCTCACCTATAGAATGACGGGGAAATGAAATGGGGCAGAGGATGCAATGTGGCTGGAAAATGTGAATCATGATGACAGATGACAGCAGTGAACATTTATTGAACACTTACTATAGTCCAGGCACATTATAGCTGCTTGCATGCATTCTCTCATTTAATCCGCACAGAAATCCTTTGAGGTTGGAATATTATCCCCATTTTATACAGCCAAATATGTGAGCCTAAATGATGAGGCTCCACAGCTTATATATTTTTTTTAAAGATTTTATTTATTTATTTGAGAGAGAGAGAAAGAGAGAGCACATCAGAGGGGATAGGGTCAGAGGGAGAAGCAGACTCCCTGCCGAGCAGGGAGCCTGATGCGGGACTCGATCCTGGGACTCCAGGATCATGACCTGAGCCGAAGGCAGTCGCCTAACCAACTGAGCCACCCAGGCGCCCCACCACAGCTTATATTTTTAACCTCTCTACCATCCTCACATCCACAGTGATTGGGCCACCAGATGGGCATGGGACCTGAGCTGGACCCATTAGAACCCTCTAGTGAGATCTACCTTATGAGATCTACCTTATAGACCGCAGACTGGGATCAACAGGCCCTTTCCCTCAGTTCCTGAACTAGGAGGAAGTTAAGAACGGGGCTGAAGGAGTCACTCTTCTCACTAACCCACAGTGCAACGAGCCAGCAGGGGACAAGCTGATCCAAGAGACACGGCAAGAAGTGGAACGCCATCTGACAACACATCTTTGGATGCCTGTCCCTCCTGCAAAGCAGTTAGCCATCTGCTTTTCACAGATAAGCTGAAGTTCAAGGGCCAGTGCATACACCACTTCCTCCAGGAAGGCTTCCCTGATGAGTTTTCCCAAAACCCCACCAGCCCCACTACAGGGGTACTTCATCTCTAACTCCCAGTCTAGCCATGACATCATGGGCCTGCAGTTTTGCTTGTATCTAGCCCCTCAAGAAGATGAGTGACTTTTAAGGTTCTCTCAACTCACCCACATCAGAGTCCAAATCCTCTTTACAATGTCCCTGACACTATTTGCATGCCTCCAGTGACAAGCAGCCTGCTACTTCCCAAGATGACTGAGGTGTGAGTTTTATTGCTCTATTTGGGCCAAGAGCAGAGCTGTGTGAATGGCCCATGTTACCCAGAGTTCTCAGCTCATGCTTAGCAATTAACTGGCTGATTTAAAACCATCTCAATTACTAGTTACTCATTCGTTTTACTGGCAAATATCAGAGGCAACATGAAGGTCTTCTCAGTGCGACTATTGCTTCTGTAACTTTTGGGGATCCTTTTCAGCCAATCAAAGAATGGCCCACAGTAGGCTCGCAGAGCAGCCCAGAGGCAGAGGGGCAAGCTCCTGGGGTGAGGGAGGGGGCGTCTCACCATCCTCTGATGGCAGGCATGACAGGTGGGGTTGGCCTTTCTTGGGTCAACTAAGTCTTCTTGTCCCTTTACTCAGTGCCCACCCCCCCAACTTATTGAGTGCTGAGTGTGTGCTGTGCTCGGAGCTTCACCTGCACCATCTCACTGAATGAGCAATACCAGGAGGTTGTTCCCCTCTTGTGTGACAGATGAGGCTACTGAGGCTTACAGGGGCTGAGTGCTTAGCCAAGAGCACCCGCGCAGTAAGGCGCTACAGCAACTACTCTTTTTGGCAGCCTATTTCCCACTCCATGCTTCTTCTAGTAAGAGATGATGTTTCCTTGGCCACAGGGAGGGCCTGTAACCTAAGCCAGCCCAGTGGGACTTTTCCAATCAGAGTTGGTGGAAAGAGTGCCTTCCTTTCTGGCGCTGGGGTGCTAAGGATGCAAGTCCAGGGCTGCCTGTGGCCAAGGTGCCAGCCTCAAAGGACAGCCAGGCGAGAATGAAGCAACCCTGCAGAGAAGACCAGGAAAAAGGAAGAGGCAAAGCCCAGAGAGTTCTATGCAGCCCCCAGGTAACGGTTTGGCCACATGAGCCAATACATTCCTTTTTGCTAAGGGCGCTATAGTTCACACTGGCTTTATGTCACTTGCAACCCAGGAGTCCTGAACAGCATAAATTCAAACCTGTGTCTATATAAACTCAAGAACTGTGCTCTAAATAGTCTCCTCTTCTGTTTCTATTATAATAAACTACGTGCCATATGAAGAGATCAAGACAAAGAAGGCTCAGTAAGGCCTGGGGCCGTATGCAAAGCCTGCATGAAGGAAGAGAGCCTGAAAGCATGGATGAGTGGATCTAAGTAGGCAGAAAAGCAGGAGAGTGGGATCAAAGGCCTGGAGTGGAAGGAAGGAAGGCGCTGCATGGAGTTGAATGCTCTGGCTTATCAGTAGAGAGGAAGAGAAGTGAGGGAATGGCTCGGCTTCAGACTGGGCAGATGATCAGAAACTCGCTGGGAGGACTGCTTTGACATGGGTCTGAGATGAGGGACTGGCTTAGAGGGCCCACCTGCCCTTCCCCTTAGTGACTATGAGTCAAGGCCTCAAAAAGCAGGTGGCGAGAACCTCCAGGCCTGAAGAACTTGGTGGGAGAAAGAGGCTAACAACCCTCAATGTTTTATTCTGGAAACCTCCAAACTGGGCAAGGAGTAGGATGTTTGCTACAGAAGAGAAACGTATTTTGAAAGTCTGGGGTTATTACTTAGGTATGGGCCTCTGGAAGCTGGGGTTATCTAGCATACACTAGGCGCTCAGTAATTATTTCCTCCTTCTACCCAAGAGGGCATCTCAGTTAGTGGAGATCCCCATCAGTAGTCCAGCCTGGCTTAGCAGGCAGGGAAAAAAAGGGCAGATACAGGGCACTCAACTTGGAAATCAAGATCGGTTAGCATCTGACTGGTTTTCTTCTGTTGGGACTATGACCACAGGAGGCAGATTATGGAGGGCGAAGGGATCCTCTCCCCTAGTCCTCGTCCTGAGGATGAGCAACCTCAAGCCTGTCCCAAGTTCCTGACTCCACAGACTTCACACACTGAGCCCCCACCCTGTGCCAGCTCTAGATCTCAGTCATCAGAAACTACGCTGAGAACATCAGTGAGCGGCAGGTAACCCAAGACAAGGACGGCCTTTTCTCTCCTCCACAGCTTTCCAAGTCTACCATATGGGGGAACTGATACCATGACAGGTGGGGAACACATAACATAAAGCTGAAATATTCAAAGTAGTCAGCATCTGCAGCATTGCCTGGCAGAAAAGGAAGGACTCAGCCATGTTTGTGGAGTCAAGCAGGGACCCATAAATGGGAACTATAGCAGGATTAATTTTGGTTCTATATAAAGAATGGTAAAATACCTGACATGATGGAAAGCTTGAACAAAAAATGAGAAAATGAAGGCAAATAAGAGGCAAAAAGAAAGGCAATTAGAAACCCCAGGAAAAACAAACACAATATAAGAGAGCATATGGTACTGTTAAACATTCCTTGGCTCTGTAGGGAATGTTTACATGGCTTAACTAATAAAAACATTGTATACTGATTTTCAAATTTTAGGATACATGCACACACAAAACATGGAAGACAACTAGGCCTAAAAACAGCAGGTAAATACCATTAACCTTGAGAACATGAAAGTAAAACTATAGAGGACAGGAGTTAGGGGAAAGGGTAGGGAAAGCCAAACGTTAGGGTAGGGGACTATTATTCTCCTTTGAAAAAGGAATCAAGAGATACTGTCTATAGTTCCCCAAAAAGGAAATAATGCTGTGTGGATATTCCCTAAGGCTACAAAGGTAACAAAGAGAAAAACTAAGAACAGTTTAAAAACTGAGAATAGATGAAAAGAACCATCTTGTGAAGATGAGGGAGGTATAAGTGAGCCAAATCATAACAGGAAGTCAGTAAATATTATCTTAGAAGCTACAAATGATAAATCAAGGGGTGCCTGCGCGGTTCAGTCAGTTAAGTGTCTGCCTTCAGCTCAGGTCACCGCATCCAGCTCCCTGCTCAGCGGGGAGCCTGCTTCTCCCTCTCCCACTGCTGCTCCCTCTGCTTGTGCTCTGTCAAATAAAGAAATAAATAAAATCTTTACAAAAATGATAAATCAGGAAATGGCAGTTGAGTATAGCTTTTAAGAATATGGACTTTGGAGACCACCTGGGTTCACATCCTAGCTTTGCCACCAACGAGATCTTGAGCCAGTTACTTAAACTCTCTTGGGCCTCAATGTTCTCATCTATAAAATGAGTGATAACAGTAGATCCTATCTCAAGAGTTGTGGTTGAATTATTACCTGCAAAACTTTAGAGTGGGCTCTGATCCATGGAAAGTGTTACATAGTATTTGTTAATACTATTTTAAAATATGAATTTAATTCTAGTAGAAACAGCTAAAAGAAGCTACTATGGTTGTCTCTGGTGCCAGGGAAAGGTGGAACAGAGAACCACGGCTTTTTACTCTTAAGCCCTTCTGTGCTATTTAACGATAGGCATGTATTCCTTTGATAGCAATACAAAAACTATCAACAGAGCAGGCAGAAGCTGGAATGGGATACCTCGAAAGATGGTGAACACTGCGTCATCAGAGGTGTGTAAGCTAAGCACGGATGCAGGAGAAGAAATCCAAGCATCTTAGGAACTGGACAGGTTGATTCTGCCCACTGTCTTAAGCTACAATGATACTGAAAATGGTCCTAGAGGTACCCTACAAGGGTGGCAGGGATACCCTGGAAGTGAGTCAGCCCTCGTGCCATCCCCAGGGAGCACTGTGGCTGGTAATGAGCTCCTCCAGGAGTAAAGAGGAACACCGCTCCTCAGCAGCTCAAGTGGAATAGTACAGAAGCCCTGGGTTTAGACCCTGGTTCTTGCCAGCAAATGATATAATCTCTCTGGGCCTCATGTACGAAATATGTTTTTGTACATGTACAAAATATGTATGTATATGTTTCCACATATACAAAATAGAAACAGACTAAGATACTGCTTATGGAAGCCCCACACATGAGATAAAGTGGGATCATATCTGATACCCACAGATTGTTCTAATTGGGCTGCTACAGTTCAGGGCAGTCAAAGACCCCCAGCTTGAAGGGGATCCAGAACAGAGATGACCCTCAGTAGCACGAGAAAGAGCTATCCTCAGCCAAGTCTCTCAGACTTCTCCCCTCATCCCAAATCATACCACAGACTTCCTAAAATTGACTCTGAGCACACTAGTGCTCAAAAACCTTCCAAGGCTCCCGCGTGCTTACCAGAAAAAGGCTACATTTTTAACCCGCCATTTAGGGCAGGAACTAGGGTGAGGCAAGTGAGGCACACAGGCCCGACACAGGGGTGCCCCAGAGTGAGCGTCTCCTTAAATTTCCTTAAAATTTGCAGGCTAGGCTTTCATTCTAGTCCCAGCCCTGCTGCCAGGAAAGGCCCTTCCCTGTCAGTCCACATCCTCTTGCAGCTGTACACCAGAAAGCTCCAGCACCACTGACCACTTGACTCTTCCCAAACTTTCCACCACTTCCTCCCCCGACTGGAACAGCCCTTCCTCCCTGGGTCACCTACTGAATACTCTGGACTCAGCTCAAGTGCCACTTCCTCCACGAAGCTCTCCAAGATGAACCTCTTAGCCCCTTCCGGCTTCACCTCACCCACCCCTTCAGTGCCCACCACAGCACTGGGCACACCAACGATACTTAATGAATGCCTGCTCAGCGCAAGGAGTGTTTCTGGCCTGCACAACAGGATGAAAGCAGAATGGAGGGAAAGACTAAAAGGTGGTTTCCGTGCTGCTTCTTCTGCCCCTCCTGGTCTCAACTACATAAACCAGTAACTTCTTCCCCTAGTGAGAGAAGGGAACGGCCAAACGAGAAAAGCCCTTCCTCATTCCTTCTCGGGAGGGGAGCTTCCATACACTTCGCTGTCTCTTGAATTTCCATTCTCACATTCTTGGGATAAGGAGTGAGCCTCCCGATTGACACCAGAATCAAAGTCCTATTCCGCTTGGAGGGACCCCGAGAACTTGGGAGGTGGCGCCCGGGGCGTGCAGGTGCGTTGGGGGCAGAGTGTGCGCCGGGGTCCTGGGGCCCGCCGCCCCCACCCCGAATTTCTTGGACCCCTAGACTGTTCTCCCCAGAGGCGCGACTGTCCTCGAGCCGGCCCGGGAGGGGAGGGGGGCGCCGGGGGCTGCTGAGCCTGCCTGGGCCCGGGGCGTCCCCAGGAAGAGAGAGGGCGGTGGAGACGGGGCCCAGGCGCCAGGGCGCAGCGAGGGCAGCGCAGGGGAGACTGACTCCGGCGGCAGCCCCCGGCCCACCCCGGGCTCCTCCAGCCGGGCCCCCGCCGCCCGCCCCGCGTCACGTGGGGGCCGCGGCCTCGCTCCCCGCGCCGGCGCGCGCCCACCTGGCCTGCAGGAAGGAGGCGCCCGGCTGCGCGCCCGCGCCGCCCGCCGCTCCCGGATGCTGTCGCCTCCGCGCCGCTACCTCCATGGCTGCCCTGCCGGCGGCCGGCGCCTCGGCCCCACTTTCCAAATTGGGGAAGCACTCTGCTGGCCCGGCGGCGGCGGGAAGGACGGCAAGAGCGGCCACCGAGCACGGGGCGGGCCGGGGCGGGCGGGGGGGGGAGAGCTCTCAGGGGGGGGGGGGGGGGGCAGGGCCGGGGGCGGGGCCGGCGCGGGCGGGGAGGAAGGGGAGGGACGCGGGGAGGGAAGGACGGAGCCGGGGAGGCGGGGCGCCCCGGGCCGGGGGATGGAGGGACGCGACGGTGGTGGCGTCCGCGGCTTGGAGCGGGGCACGGGCCTGCGCACGCAACGCGTGTGGCCCTGTGGGGGCTGGGCGTTGCTGGGGTCGCCGGCGACGTCCGGGCGGGAAGCTTGGCCTGGGCAACAGCGGATACTGGTGTTGGGGGGGTAGGGACCTGGGTAAGACTCACCTGCTCCAGATGCCCCCTCCCCCGGGGAGGAGGCGAGGCTGCATTTCCCTTGTCCTTGGGGACAGGGACGGGGGTGGGGGGATTATGTCCTCCCACACTGCGCCACGCGCTTTCCTTTTTCAGATGGAAGATGTCGCTTCCTAAAATGTCACCTCTGTGGCCCTTGACGCTAGGAATTAAATAATGGGCGGGATCAGAGGGTAGGACGGAGAGGAGCATAGAATTCTTTCCAAGTTGGGGTGGCGTGGAGTGGGTTGATGCAGATTCTAATTCTGGATTTGTCACTCTCGGACTTTGTGGCTTTGGAAAAGTCACTTGCTCTCCCTCCCTCCCAAACATGTATTAACTCCCTGCTGTGAGCAGCACACTGTGCGGACAGGAATGGACAAACCCAGCTCTAGTAATGCGTATGTTTGGTGGCTGGAAGGAGGCATTGGTAAAGGGTGTGAGCAGAGACTTGGAGGGGGCCGGGTCAGACCAGGCTTCTGGAGGATGGACATCCCCGTTGTGACTTTGGACTTCTGAGATGACAATGAAGTCTGAGCAGGAGTGGAGGGAACACAGTGAGTGGGGGGGAAAGTGTTCCAGGCAGAGGGAACAGCCAGCCGAGGCTCAGCATCCAGAGAGAAGTTGGTGTTTGGAGGAAAGAAAAGTTCAGCGAGAGCAGCAGAGTGCATGAAGGAAGAGCAACGGGAGGTGGCCTGGGGAAGGGTGCAGATGAAGAGGGCCTTTATCCTGGGAACAACGGGAAGCAGTTCAAGAGTTTAGGGGTAGGGAAGTGGCACCATCATATTTGTGTTTTGGATGAGACAAATGGGGTGGATGAGAAGAGGCAGGAATGGAGACCACCAGGTGGAGCACGTGATGGGCATTTGTTCTAGGGAGGGTCCTGCGCTGCTCACAGCCATGGTGGGAAGGAGAGAGTTGATGAGCTCAGTTGCATGGTGGGTACCATGGCGGTGCCTCGGGTGTCAGGGGTGAGGAGAGAAGAGTCCAGGCTCTGGCCGGGTTCTGCAGCTGGGTGGGTGGTGGAGGCGCCCTCTGGGAAGTGGGCTAGAGCAAGTTTAGGGTAAATGAGGATTCTTCCTTGGACATATGCTTGGAAAGGCTGTTGGGCCCGTGGATCTGAAGCATAGGCCAGACCTGGGAGCAGGGCAGACTGACTCGTGAATCAGGGGAATAGAGATGATAATCTGAACCTAAGAGGCTGCTTGGGGAGACGGTGTCCCTGTGAGGAGAAAGAACAAAGGGCAAAGCCTGAGAACAATCAGCAAGCTGACTGCCTGGTTTTCAATCCTGATACTGGTCCTAACTAGCTGTGACACTGGGGTAAATTGCTCAACCCCTCCCAGCCTCAGTTTACCCATCAGCGACAAGGAGAAGCCTGTTGCATCTACTGCATGGGGGCCGTGATGGTTACATGATGTCGTGCAGATGGAGCGCTTGGCACAGAGCCTGGTGCTGGTGGGTTTGTTCGGTACCGTAGTCTGACCCTGGACCTGATGTTTCCTGAGTGAGATGACGGGTTTGAGCCTATTTCCATTCCATTTTCTTGCCTGTACTTTCCTTTCCTTTGGGAGATTTTTTTTTTTTTTAAGATTTTATTTATTTATTTGACAGAGACAGACACAGCGAGAGAGGGAACACAAGCAGGGGGAGTGGGCGAGGGAGAAGCAGGCTTCCCGCAGAGCAGGGAGCCTGATGCGGGTTCGATCCCAGGACCCTGGGATCATGACCTGAGCCCAAGGCAGACACTTAACGGTTGAGCCACCCAGGTGCCCCGCTTTGGGAGACTTTTATTGAGTTTTATTCCTTCTCATTTTGATCAGAGCCCATGTCCTATCTTGGCTGTGACTGGGGCCTGCCTTGGGGTCATTTTCCATCAGCTCCCCCCTGCCCCGCCCCCGGGCTCCAGCAGCCCACAGGCCACACACCCTAGTGCCCAGCCCAGCCCCACTAAAGGGCATGTTGGCTTTATAGCTTTTTCTCTCATTTGCACCCATGTCCCTATTTGGCAGCAAAGAAAGCCAGTATCCTGAGCTGAAGTAGTGTCCCCAAGGTCAGCCAACAACAATGCTCAGACTGGATTCCTGGTTTGATTTCGGAGAGTCTGATCTTCCTTCTACAGATTGCTCTATGTACATGCCAGAGAAGGATTGAGGCTTCCGGCTCTGACCCCAATCTCTTATTCTCTGCCGGCTTTGCAAGCCTGCTGAGCTTCAAAGGAAGGGGCATGAAGTGCCTATGATGTAGTATCAATTTAATAACACCCAAGGTTGGGCTTCCAGTCATTAGAGGATGAGGCTGTGTGGAGGAAGCTTCTCTGGCCCATTTAATCTTCCAACCCCTTAAATACCAACACATCTACCTCCCATCTGGAGCCGGCAGCTGTCCCCTGAGTGGAGGGGGGCCCAGGCTCGCAGCGGGGGCCAGGCCTTCCTGAATGAACATGATGAATACCACTGCCCCCCTCCCCCAGCCTGGTGGGATTATCAGTCCCTCTCTTTCCTGTCCCATCAGGACTCTTTAAGAACATCATCCTCATGTGCTCTCAAATTGATGGACATTTGGGGAGCGGGGACAGAGCAAAGTTGGCACCAACCCTTGGGCACTGAGGGGTACACATTTCCAGGTATCTTGCTTGCAACTCTCTGGGGACATGGTTCCTGCACACAAGAAGGGTGAACGGTCTCAGCCCTCTGAGCTGCCATTTCACTGAACCATGTCAAGGCACTTGTCAGCTGGGAAGGTCCTTCAACTTTTATGTAGCAGATGTTCTCACTCCTTTTCTACGATAGCCATACCAGATGCTTTCTGATGGGCCACCTAAGATCTATCTTCCAGGCGTTTGCCGCCTGTCTCGTTCCAGCACAAGCCAACCACACTCATGCCCCCCTCTGAACTCCTGGCCTCAAGTGGACCTTTGACTAACAGGAAATGGGTTGGCAGAGAAATCTTCTCTTCTTTCTGGATGAACTGTCCTAAGCTTCACAGAGCCTCTTTTATTTTTATTTTATTTTGTTTTATTTTATTTTAAATTCAATTCATTAACTATAGTTATTATTAGTTTCAGAGGTAGAGGTCAGTGATTCGCAGTTACGTGTAACACCCAGTGCTCATTCCATCACATGCCCTCCTTAATGCCCATCACCCAGTTACCCCATCCCCCTACCCTCCCTCCAGCAACCCTCAGTTCGTTTCCCATGATTAAGAGTCTCTTATGGTTTGTCTCCCTCTTTCACAGAGCCTCTTTGGAGGTGTCACAGGATCTAGCATCGTTGATGCTCACGGTGGCCACCTCAGCAGAGCTCTCTGTCCTCGTCTGTCTCACCCCCTCACTGCAGCTTCCCTGACACTGCACTCCCTCACCAAGTGGCGGCATACACACTCTGCCTCGAGCTCTGCTTCTAGGGAACCTGGGCTAAGGCAGCATCTGGCAAGGATGCTCAGGGTAGAAAGCGGATACAAGTGGGGCCACTCTGAGTGAAGAGAAATGGAGCCCACGGGGCCATCCCTTGTCCTTTGATACGGTTTCCAAGGTGATGACCCACGCACCTCGAAGGGGCTCCCTGGCAAGCCTTTGATCTCATCTATTTCTGTCACTCAGCAGCCGAAGCAACTGGAACCTAAAGTCACACAGCAAGTGAGAAGCGAAGCCAGACCAGAATCCGGTCTCCTCACTCCAAAGCCAGCACTCTTTCTTTCAAGTCCATTTAAGAACTTCTGAAAATGTTTCTTTTTCTCAAACATCTCCCCACACTGGCTGCCTGGGAGACTTTGAAGGCCCCGTTAACTGGCAGCCACCACCTGGGAGGTGTGACACACAGAGCACGGGGGCAGACAAAGAGGAGCTGGGACAGGGAAGAAAGGCAGGCAGGAAACACCTGGTCCTGGGACCTCTGCGTGCAAGAAACAGGGATGATGTGTGTCTGGAAGGCTGCACGAGGACAGGCCCCAGAGAAGAGTGGGGGCCAGGCCTGGGGGGACAGGGAGGGGCCGCAGAAGGAGCTGGAGACTGGCCTCCCCTGTCCAGTGGTCTCGCCCGGGGGACACCCTTGTTCAGGCTGAAGTTGCCCTCCAGGAAGCTGGGAAGGTGACCAGAAGTCACACCATGGGCAAGAAGACAGAGAGAGGTGTTGGCCTCAAGCTGCTTTCCTGAAGATTCTTGGGGCTGAGACTGCTGGGAACAACTGGGGACATGTTGATAACAAAAGGGGAGTATAAGGGTACAGGGACATCTTAAGAAATCTAAGCACAAGGATGCAGCTGGGTCTTGGAGAAGAGATGAGACCCAGGGCCTGGGTTTGGGGAACCCAGAAAGTCACTTTCCTCCAACTCCATTTCTGTTCCATCTTTCTGTCTCCCTGAAACCTGGCTTTCCCTGCATCCTAGGGAGCGTGACAGCAAATGGCCTCAGAGAGCAACTTCCGATTCACCTCTCTTCCATGGTGATAAGCAGAATGAGCCTGGACTCTTCTGGACACAATTCTACATCATCAGGGAGGGATTCTGGTTGGCCTGGCTTGAGGCAGGTGCCCACCCTGGGCCGTTTAGTGAGGCCAGGTGGTACATAACCAGGGCTGCTCCCTTTCTGATCTGATGGGCAGGAGAAGCGGAAGGGGATAGTTCACTACCTTGGGCTTGCACCCTTGAACAAAAGCCCTGAACCA